GGGGGGAAACCCTCCAAACCCCCACGGTTAAGCCACAGGGCCGGCCCGTTCCCGTCAGCACCACGATAGCTTGGGGGCCGTGGGCGTCGGGTAAGGTAGCTCGGCACACAGGCTGCACCGCGCGCCGCAAGCGCGTCGCCGCGCCCGCACGAGCGGCGACAGGCTGATGGCTGAGAAACGAGGAGCCCAAGGGTGGGCAATGAAAGAGCAGTGCAAGAGCGCGCAAGAATGCGGGGCTGTCCTATGTCACGCCATGTCGCCGTCCGTGGGGGCTGCACGGCGGAACTCCATTAATGAATATTCGCGGGTGCTGGCCGCCCGCCGCGTGCGTGACGTGAGCCACAACGCCGCCGGCACACCACGCCGTCTCAAAGTCGACGACTGAGAACTGCCTGCGCTGCCTCGCAGCGGGGAACCAGCTCCGCCGCACGCCCTGCATGTCGGTGATTTTTTTATATGAAGTTACACGAGAGACTGACGACACCTGCGCAGATGCGGCCGCCCGCGCCCGCCCCAGACACGGCGTCGCCGCCAGCGCATGGTGGGACCACAAGCTGGCAGCCGGAGCGAGGCCCCTATCCCCTCAAGGACTTACACGGGAACCCCGCCCCCGCCAGGGGTCATTGCTAGGAGGGAATGTGAGTCCCGGCTGTCCCAACGCGGTTGCCAGGTTTTCAGGTCTGGTTTCTTTTGCCACTCCTTTGGCGTCGGCTCTTTTGTTGCCCGTGATGCCCACGTGGGCGGGCACTTTCAGGAGCACGACCGGCGGCGCCTTAGGGGGCCGTCTCGTGATGGCGTCTCTGATAGCTTTGAGGAGGGCGAGGTGGCGATGACCGTCCAGATCTTGCGGCCTGTGTACCATTTTGTAAATATGGCAAATGCAGCCTAAGCTGTCACTGGCAATGTGGCTGTGCCCTGCCATGATTGCTGCCCATATGGCGCTTAGTTTTGCTCTGTTGATGGTGTTGTTCTCAGGCTGCGCGGGGTCCCGCGGGTCAATTGCTATGTCATGTTGTTTCCCGCCCCCCAGCGGGGCAGGGATGTGGACGCCTGCGCCCATGGCAATGGTTTTGCCTTCAGCTCCCCTGTTGCGAGAGGTGCCGCGCCCCGTCTCCTTCGAAACGCTCCCATCAGTGTAGGCTAGGGAGTCGGCGTCATACGCCAGGGGCTGGGGCGGATCAAGGGCTTTTGAAGGCCGAACGCCGCATGCCTGCTGTCACCTTCCTGAAAAGGTGTCACCTTCCTGAAACAGCGAACATGGATGTCCCCCTCTCCCAGGTGCGCGGGCCGCCCCTTTTCCCCTCCTCGCGGTGTCCAGCCTCACGCGCGCAACGCCCTTTCCTGGCATGGTGTGTTGCCCTGCGGGCGGGCCCTGCCGCCGGGCTTGTTCGCACATGGGTTTCTGGGCCTCCACCATATCTGCCTGTTGTGGCTGTCCCAGCACGCTGGCCACCGCCAGCTTGAGGCGGGTTGCCAAATTGGTCCAGTTGAGGTTGGCCGGCGTATGTTCGCCTGTGCCGCATGGTTCCCCACAATGTACACCAGCATTGCATGTTTTGTCGCGGTAGCATTGTAAGTCCATGCATCCCCCTTGCCTGGGGTCAGCAGCCGGGCATCGAGTTTTGGTACGCTGGCCACCAGGCTGCACACATCTGGGTGCGCGTCCAGCTGCCGCGCGTACGCAAAGTTTTGCCCCATGTCTGGCAAGAGGAGTGCTGTGAGTGTAGGCTCATCATCACTGGCGGCTTGGGCCGACCGAATTGCCCATGCTACAGCCTTGCTGAGTGCCGCGCCTCCCCACTGTCGTGTGCATAGAGATGACCCTGTCCAGCGGTCGCAGTACGCATCGGCTTCTGCATTGTAGGGTGGAGTAGACTCGGCGCAGGCATGGCACGTGCACCCAGCATGGTTTGAGGACGGGCGGATGCAAGGGTCAGGGAAGCAAGGGGCCGGGAAGCTCCCCTGCCCGCCAACATGCAAGCTTGCCCTTGCAAGGGAACGTCCCCTTGCTGCCCCATTGGTTTGAGGGACCTGGGGGCCCCTGCGTTGCGGGGTGCCAGCTGCACACGAAGGGAGTTTGCACCCAGCATGCTGGGCACATTAGTATTAGGATGAAGATTGTAACAGGGTATGCCGGCGGGCTTGTCGTCCTGGCTGCGAGGATAGTCGCTCCATGAGCAGGCAGTGTTGGCTCCCAGCAGCTCCATGCAACGGAAGTCTAGCAAGCAGCTGCTTCACTTAGTCGCTGTGCCCACTTCCACTCTAAGCACACCTGGAGTTGTGCATAGTCAAGTGGCTGCACGCATCCATCCACTTCATCAACGACCACTTGGCTTCGCCGCTTGCAAAGCTCCGCAGTGCATGCGTTTGTGTGCGTGAGCTCAGCTGACTTAGCTCTGCACATGGATGCGTCAGGGTGCCATGCAGCGGCTCATGCCGCATGCGGATCAATGTGCATGAACGCGCCTTGAAAATTAAACTACATTGTGATAGATTTTACGGCACGCGGGCCCCAATAGCAGCGGAACGATCTGCCCCGCGCGGTACTGTACCTTGCAAGCTTCAACCCGCACGCCTTTACGTACATACGTACGTGAATTCGGTAACATACACAGCCTAATTCACCAGCCTGCCCCCTTTCGGTCAACAAGTGATCTCCAGTCACATGCTCGAATGCTACACGAGTAGCGCTCAGTATCAGCATGGTGAGTGCGATTATATGATGCAGCGTGATGCTCCTGCATCGTCCCAGCTGCCCGCATGTGAGGCCTGCCCAGCACCACCAGCTAGGATGAGTTGTGCGCGCGCAACGCCGCTGTGGCCGCCTGCAGTGTGCCGGTTGAGCGCGTTTTTGCCACTGGCAGCCATGCGCACTCAAGAGTGCTGCAGCAGCAGCCACTAGCACTGATCATGATCGCTCGACGTGCCGCCGCAGTCAATCCTCTGGGAGGAGCCTCCCACCACAGGCCAGGCGCCATGCCCCAGATCGGGGCACTCTTTCACTGCCCTGGGCGATAAGTTCTTGCTGTTTGGCGGCAACGGTCGCCTGGACGGTGCGCGCCCGCTGTCCTGCGCACGCATGTGCCGTTTCATGAGCCAGGGCCCTCGCTCATGCCCTGGCTGCTTGGCGCTTTTGCACCAACGCTTTCCTCTGCTGCAACACCCGCTGAGCGCCACTGGCAGGCCAAGCCGGTCTGGCAACCCGCCCCTGGTGCCGATCTCACCCACGCCTCGCCTCGCAGGCAAGGCCCAGGCCTTCAATGAGCTCTATGAGCTTGACACCAGCAACGCCGAGCAGTACAGATGGCGAGAGATCCTGTGTCCCAACGCACCTCCAGCAAGGTCCCGCCACGCGGCAGTTGCAGTGAGCTTCAAGGCTGAGTTGGGGCTCAAGGGGGATGGCTTTGAGCTTGACACGCCCAGCCCATATGGCATCGCCTGCGTGTGCACAAGCGGCGCTCATCTCGCGCTTGCAACCGGACTGCAAGGCTGAGTGCATTCGTTGGGACGCCCGCACAGCTGCCATCACGCCCAGGCCTGCATGTCGGCCCCCATGCCGCGGCCCGCCGCCCTTGACTCCGCCGCCCCCTCCTCCACGCGCCCCTGCGCAGCTGGACGACCAGCGCCTGCTCATCCTCGGCGGCGTGGACCGCCGCGCGCGCTTCAGCGACGTGTGGGTCTACGATGCCACCGCGGACGGCGGCAAGGGATCCTGGTCGCTCGCAGACACCGGGCCCGGCCCCGCGCCCGAGCCACGCGCGCACTTCAGCGCAACGAGGGTGGACGACCGCATCATTGTATTTGGCGGCTACGGCGGCGGCGGGCAGGTGTTTGGTGACACGTGGGTGCTGCACGTGCTCGGCCCAGGTGGCGCCCACGGCTTCCGGTGGGAGAACATCACAGACCAGCTGCAGGGCGACGCACCCCCAGCGCGCTTCGACCACGCCGCGTTCGTGTTCCCGGTCACGCCTAACAGCGTGTCCTTCGACAAGCTCATGATCATGGGCGGCCGCGACGTCGGGGTTGTGCTGGGTGATGCCCACGTGTTGGACCTCGCAACGTTCACCTGGGAGCGCGCCGGGGTGCCTGACGGCAGCTCCAGCGGCGCCGCCGCCGGCGCGCCGGCGCCTGTCGGGGAGGTGTGCTGCGCGGTTGTGGAGGACGTGGAGAGCGTCCCCCACCACAAGGTGCGGGGCGAGAGTCCGTGGGGGAGGGCGGGGTCCATGAGAGAGCGCGGGGCTTCGCTGGGAGGGGGTTTCATGGCAACCTCAGGGCTGCGCGGCAGGGTGTGTGGCTCGCATGTGCAGGAGACACGTCCATTCGATGCATGCAAGCACGCGAAGCAGGTTGCCCCTCTTGATGCGCATGCAGCCTGGTCAAGTGTTGCCGCGCGCTGAGCACCAGCTCCGCTTCCCTTTCCGCTGTGTGCCTCCTGGCAGGTGTTCAGCTTTGGGGGGAAGCGCGGGATGATGTCATACCTCAACAGCGTGGAAGTCTTGGACTGCGGCAGCAGGGCCTGGAGCACACCGCCACTGGAGGCTGGCAGCAAGGCGCCATCGGGAAGGTGCGGCGCAGGGGGCACGGTGGTGCAAAGGAACCGCCCAGCTTGGGGCGAGGCGTGCTCAGGTGGGGATCCACCCTGCCTTGATATGCACAGCCCCTCCGTTGGGTGGCAGCCCCGCTGCTGATTGCACTCGTCCTCTGACAACACCGCCCTGTGTCTCACCGGCACCTTCACCACCGTGTCACCCCCCCCCCCCGCCTCTGGTCAGGGAAGACACTGCATGGGCGTACGACAGCCGCACCTCCAGCCTGCTTATGTTTGGCGGGTGGGCAAACTGCTGGCTGGGGGACTTGCTGAAGCTCAACGCCTCCCAGATCATAGGGCCGCCCTACGCCTGCACAGGTGTGTGCAATTTTGCATTAGGCAGGGCTCATCGCACCACCAAGTCTTCCTTCTGCCCAAAATGTAGCCATCAGTGCGTGTACATTATCTTGACGACTATTTGAGCAATATGGGTATGTTTGATTTGCTGGCTTGGACCACGATTCCTCAAGTTCGCACACCTCAATCTGCCGCGTCGCCCTTGGCAACACGCCGCCCCTTTCCTGCCCGGCCAGGTATCAGCCCCGAGTCTGGCCCCGTGTTTGGCGAGGCGGACATCACCATCTCGGGCCTGCGATTCCGCCCGGGCCGCATCCAGGTCCGCTTCGCCAGCGACCACTGCAAGAGCGAGGCCGTCGCCGAGGGCGAGTTCGTCGACGCCACCACCATACGCTGCAAGACCCCCAACTTTGAGGCGTTTGGCGCCGGCAGCGTCGACGTTCGGGTGTCCATCAACGGGGAGGGCTGGACTGTCAACCGGCTCGGCTACACGTATTTCGCCAACACGGCTGCCCGCAACTGCCTGGCGTTCGGCCCCGGCCTGCTGCCCGCTGCCGGCGCGTTCGGCCTGGCCCTGCCGTTCGTCATCCAGGCGCGCGACACGCTCAACGACCGCCGCACCGGCGGCGGGGACGTGTTTGCGGTGCGCGTCACCGTGGGCGGCAAGGACGTGGAGGGTGCGACGGCTGGTGTCCGTGACCTGGGAAACGGCCACTACCAGGCGCACTACAGCGTGCCGCTGCCGGGGGCCTACCAGGTGAGTGCCTGTGCACGGGGCCTGCCGTTCCGCCCTGCCGAGCCATGACTTTCAGGAAACCGTCAATGCCGACGGCTCCAAGCAAGAGGCCTGCGTGTTGCTTCCATTGCAGGCTGCCGTGTCCGTGTCTGCCCCTGACCTATCCAGGGCCGGCTGTCAGCAGTGGGTTGTGCTTCCCTGCACCCATGGAACGCCAGGGTACCACAGCTTGTCGCTCGCCCCCATTATATTGCGTGCTGCTGCTACAACTCTCCCTCTCCCTCCCCCGCCCACCCTAGGTGCACGTCCTCCACACCGAGCTGGGCGCGGCAGAGCCCGTCCCCATCCGCGGCAGCCCCTTCAGCGTCACCGCCAGCGACCCCTGGGTCCGCCACCGGACCAGTGGCGCGGCGCCCGGCAAGCGCAAGGGCGCGTCGCTGGTGTCCATCGGCGGGGAGCTGGTGGGTGCTGCGAGGCTCAGGGTTGTGCGCAGGGAGCCAATTGGTTATCAAATGCGCTGAGTTCACCTCTTGCGACCCTTGCACCAACATGAAGACAGGGTTCAATGTTGCGCTCCCAATTCACGGCCTGGCCAACTGTTTCCAGGTGCTCTATGGCGGCGACAAGTCTGGCGCCAACGTGTGCGTGCCCTTTGGTGCCAGCGGCGAGTGGCGCTGGGCGCAGGTCGCGGCAGCGGGCCCCGCTCCCCCGGACCGCGGCATGCACGGCGCGGCCGTGTGGGGCGGCGCCATGGTCGTGTTTGGCGGCGCCGCGATGGACGCTGGGGGCGCTGAGCTCTCAGACGTCTGGTGGCTGCGCAAGCAGGGTAGCAGCTGGGCCTGGGGGGCACCGGGGCGGCACACGCCCTACGTCAGGTGGGCGGCACCGAGCGCGAGGCCTGCATGCCAGCACGCCGCATGCACCGCAGGTCAGACGCGCGACAGGTCAGTGCCGTTTGATGCCTGCTGTCGCGACCGTGCAACGGCGTGATGCGGGCCTCCCGTGTCATCGCCTGCATGCATCCCCTTTTTTTCACCAGGCTGGACGCCGACGGGCAGCCGGTCGGCGAGCCCGCGGCGGTCCTGGCGCGCCAGGCTGCCGCAGTGGCGGTTGTCGCGGACGAGCTCCTCGTGCTGGGCGGCGAGGCGAGGGGCGAGCTGGTGGGGGAGCCCTGCAGCGCCGATCTAGGGGACGCCCAGGTGGGGGCAACAGGCCGCCTGGATGGGCGCCTGGGCTTTCGGGGGACGCTGGGCATCGAGGGAGGCGAGCGATGCTGCATGCGTGCCGGCATGCAAGCAGACAGGCGGCTGTTCGTGTTTTGAAGTGGGTGTCGGTCAAGCTGTTCCTCACTGTGACGTCGACGCCGATGCAGGTTGCCAATTGGCAGGCTTTCCACATGCGCGGCGAGGCCCCAGCGCCCCGCAAGGGCGCGGCTGCGGCGGCGAGCGGCGCGCGCGTGGTCATGTTTGGTGGCAGCGTGGTGGATGCGGCCGCCGAGCAGGCTGTCACTGACGAGCTGGTGGTTCTCGACATGGGTGAGCACTGAGCGATTGTTGGGAAGGCAGCATGCCAGTGTTGTTGGGGCGTCGCACCTTGCACCGCTGCAGGATTTGTAGTCCTGAGCATGATTGATTAGCAGCTGAGCGGCAGATGTTGTGGCCGGGAGACGCAACGCGCTGCAATCAAAGCAGGCATCACCCACAGTCAGCCATGCTTACAATCGGCAGCTGGGTGCCAGCTGGTTGCCGAGGTGATCTGTTCCCGCCTTGCTGTCGCATCCTATGCAGTGCCAGGCACAACCGGCACAGCCACCTGCCTCACTCTCAAGCGCCCCGAGCCCGCGGCGGGCGTCTCGGGCGCAGAGTGGCCCGCGGCGCGCGCGGGCGCGTCGCTCGCGGAGTGCAGCCCTGGGCAGCTGTTCCTGTGCGGCGGCGTGGGCGCTGACGGGCGCCCGCTCAACGACGCGTGGGTGCTTGATGCGGCGACGCTGACGTGGCGTTGCGCCTACAGCGGTAGCCCGGACCTGGTTTCGCCATCAGGTGCGAGGGCCCAGGGGAGCGTTTTTGGGCATGCCACAGTCCTGCCAAGGTGCCCGTCTTCTTACCGGCATCTTCAGCGTGGCCCCATAGCTGGCTGCGACCGTTTCCCCCATGACCCCGCCCTCCAGGCGCGCTGGTGGCGCTGTGCGACGGCAAGCTCTTCACTGTCACCGGCCCGGCCGGCTCCTCCAAGCTCGACCAGCTGGAGTCGCTCGACCTGTTTGCCCTGGCGGGCTCCTACGCGTTTGGCGAGCGCATGCGGTCAGAGGTGGCGGGGCTGCTGCAGGGCCTGGAGGTGTGGGCGGAGAAGCAGGCGACAGGGATGGAGCTGGCGGCGCAGCCGGAAGGGCTGGCGGCCAACTTTGAGAGCCTGCTGAGGGTGAGCCAGGCGGGGTTACGCATGTGCAGCTGCTGCTGGGGAGTTGGGATGCAGGGGCCTCAGGGATGGGATCGCCCACCTCACATATCGTGCCCTGTGCACTCAGCGCGCCAGCAATTAATCAGCCGCTGCGAGACCACAATCAGGCGCAGCTGGGCTTAGGCACACTGGCAGCCAACTGCCCAACGTGGAGTGCCCGACACATCTCTATCACCTACAATCCCACAGGTGATGGACGCGCTGTATCAGGTGCGGGTGCGCAAGGCCGACACCGACCTGGCTATTGACCAGCTGAGGGAGATACTGGGCCACCTGGCTGCGGAGCGCGCACCTGGCGTTGGGAAGCTCGAGAAGCGGCTCGAGGAGGTGGGCCTGGCGTGGAGTGGGGGCTGCAGTGGGGAGCCACATGCCTGCGCTTGCAGGCACCACGCATGGGATGCTGCCCCGAGAAGTTGAGGTCGGTTGCTGGGTGTCAATTGCCTGTCAGCCTGGGCGGCGGCCTGGTGCATGGTGTCAGCTGGCCAGGACGTGCCTCACGGCCTGCTAATCGGCGTGCTTGCATCCACAACATTGTGCGGGAACTCAGGTGGCCCAGCGCTGGGACGGTATTAAAAAGTCTCAGCTGCAAGTCAAGAGCAGCCTGGAGACGGTGCAGGTGCGGGGCTCTTTTGCAGAACGCAGCCAGCGGCGGACAGGCGGAGGTGCTGATTGCGGCAACAGCCTCACCACACATGCTGCTCCTTCCTGCAGAGACCGTTGGCATCGCTCCACCCAATCTGCCCATTCCATATCAATTTTTTCACCCCATTTTGTATACATCCCCAGGCATCCCAGGCGGAGCGCATCCGCGGCGACATTACCGCTTTTGGCGGCCGCGTCACGGCCGCGCGTGCGTCGTTCAAGACGCGCCCCTACTTTTCGTGGTCGGCAGGCGCCTCAGCCGCCTATGCAGCGCTCGACACAGCGGCGGCAGAGCTGGCCAAGCTGCGCAAGGAGTGCGACCGCTTCTCCGAGCTGGCGCGGATGTTTGAGCTTGCGGGTGCGTTGTGCTTGATGGTTGTCAACAGCCTGGGTCTGCCAGGGCATTCGGCGCATGCGCGAGCTCCTCGGACGCACCGCAGGCTGATGGGTTGCCAGCGCTGTGTGTGCTGTTGGCCCTGCATCTCAGTGCGCCTTCCTTGATGGTAGTTCTGCCGATCCCGGCCCCACACCGCACCGCACCACACCACACCGCACCACACCTCGCCACACCACACCACACGACTCCACCCCGCTTGTCAGACGCGGTCAAGCCCATCTCTGACCAGCTGGCGGAGGCGCGCGAGGACCTTGTGGCCATCAAGGACGTGTGGGACTGCGCACAGGTGACAAAGGGGTCCGGGAGTGTTGGAGGTCGTGCTGCACGATTTATCCATGGCTGGCTGGCCGGCAGGGGGGACTGGCAGGCAACAGAAGTACACGGGCGCCCTCAACTCCGCGCACCGCCACAAGTATAGGCAGCCTCTTGGCTCTGCAGATTTCGCGTCCCCACCCACCGCGCCTGTCCACCCAGCGAAACCCCCACACCCTTTCCCCCTTTCCCTTGCGCTCGCAGTTGTGCGAGCTCCAATTCGCCGCGTGGCGCGACACCCTGTGGAACGACATCAGGACCGATGAAATGGAGGAGGGTGCCAAGGGCTTTGTCAAGGAGGTCAAGGGGCTCAGCAAGAAGGTGCGCCCCCGGCCCCGCCACCGTTTCCAAAAGGTTTACGTACCCAACAGGATGGCTGGGGTTGCTGAAAGGTGGTTGTCATTGAGCCCCCTTCCCGTTCTCGCCATCAACATCAACCCCTACACGCAGGTACACTCTCACACACACACACCCACGCGTACGCATACGCACACGCACAGGTTCGTGACGAGGCTGTGTTCAAGGGCCTGGACCAGTCCGTGAAGAACTACCTGGTGTCGGTGCCGCTGGTGGCAGACCTGCGCAGCCCCGCCATGAGGCCGCGCCACTGGCAGGCGCTCATGGACGCCACAGGGGTGCGTGGGCCTGTGAGGGTAGGGGTGGTGGGCACACAGGCAGGCGGGGGAGGGGAAGAGGGGCGGTGCAGAGCTTGAGGAACACGCCTGCATGCTGATCATGAATGGCATCTTTGAGCTTTTCTGATAGGCTCTTCAATCCGGGCCTTACTGCACGCGTGCGATGTAAGCTGGCGGTTTGGTTCTTGTGGAACAAGCTGCACGCCTCACCCAGCGAGGCCCTGCACCATCCAACCCACTGCCCGAGCCAGCTCGCCCCTCACTGCAACGCCCAGGTCAAGTTTGATGTCGCGGACCCGGCCTTCAAGCTGGGGCAGCTGCTGGCACTGGAGCTGCACCGCTTCGAAGAGGAGGTGGGTCGTGACAGGCTGCAGGGTGGTGGCCCTGCGGGCTGTGGTGCTTTCACGTCGTTTGCTCTGCGCGGGGGAGGCCCGAAGACGTCCGCAAGGCGTGAACCCTGCTCTCACGGTATCCACCAGGGAGGCTGAGAGACTGAGGTTGCGCACACGCATCAGCACACACACGTGCAGCCCAGCCAACAGCACGTGAATTCGCAAGCATAGCCGTTGACAGGCACGCCCCTCTCCACGTTGCCCCATAATCAACGCCCTTCAGGTGTCTGAGATCGTGGACCGCGCCCAGAAGGAGGAGAAGATGGAGGCCGGCCTCACCAAGCTGGACGACGTCTGGGGCCATGTGGCCTTCCATTTTGCGCCCCACAAGGAGGGGTCTGACGTGGCGCTGGTCAAGATGGCCGAGGAGGACTTTGAGGTGGCAGGGAGGTGGTGCTGCGGGGAAGGTGTTTTGGGCAGTTCCCAGCGCGTTTTGGGGACTGTCCACAGCATCAAAATGGAGGGCGGGTTTGCCACCCGCACTCGCCGCCCCTCCCCTCCGCACCCACTCTCGCTTCCATCCCCTCCTCTCCTCCCGCGCGCGCCCGCTCCTACGTGCCCCCCGCCAGATGCTGGAGGACAACCAGGTGCTGGTGCAGGGCATGATGGCCAACCGCTACATGGCCACCTTCAGGGACACCATCCTCGGCTGGAACAAGAAGCTCATGGCCGTCGCAGACATAGTGCAGGCGTGCAGGGGGGCGGGAGGGGGGCAGGGCGAAAAGCCTCGAGGCGTGGTGGGGGCCTCGGACGGCTTTGAGGACGCCACATATGCCGCAGGCCGGGCGCAGCTGGATGCGTTTTGCACTCGCGCGGGATGGATCCTGCACACAACGTTGCCTCTTCCACCTCAATCCTTTGCGCCTACGCATGCCTCATGCTGCCTCCCTTCTTCCAAAACTCCTACTTTTGGCTGCGACCCTGACAATTTGGTCCTCCCCCCCTCTCATCCTTAATCCTACCCCTCCAGCTTCTGACCGAGATCCAGCGCACCTGGGCCTACCTGGAGTCGCTGTTCATAGGCAGCGAGGAGGTCAAGAGGGAGCTGCCAGACGCAACGCAGCGCTTTGCCCGCGTCGATGCCGACATTAAGGGCGTGCTCAGGGTGGGCGGGCGGGGCAAGAGATGGGCAGAGCGTGAGGAAAGAGGGGCAGAGGCTGCCGACAGCGAGGGTCATGGTGCAGCAGCTGTGCCCATCAAAGGGCCGAACCGTGACACAGAGGAGGAGATTGCGCGCAGCGCGCCGGATTTGGCGCTCGCGGCACCGCAAGTTCACGCCCTCCGCAACCGGCGCCGCGAGCGCAGGAGTTCAAGGGCACCCAGAACTGCGTGGCTTGCTGCAACCGCGAGGGCCTGCTCAAGTTCCTGGAGGGCCAGCAGTCCGCGCTGGAGGTCTGCGAGAAGGCGCTGGCGGACTACATGGAGTCCAAGAGGCGCGCCTTCCCGCGCTTCTACTTTGTGTCCACGGCCGACCTGCTGGACATCCTGTCCAACGGCAACAACCCGCACAAGGTGTGCGCGCGCGTGTGATTTTTCACGGCGGCGTCGCCGGCGTTGAGGGCGCGGCGCTACGCACGTCAGGAGATGGGGTTGTGGTGTCATCTGGTCCCTGGAGGCCGGCCCATCACCTCTCATGCCACGCAATCAACAAAAGCCCCATGCCAGATGAGGTACACCTTACCCGTTGATTATGTATGCATACACAACCGCCCGTCTGAAAACCCCAGGTGATGCAGCACATGTCCAAGTGCTTCCAGGCCATCGACCGCCTTAAGCTCGACCAGTCCGAGGCGCAGCCGGACGGGCAGCGGCCTCGCGGGCTGGGCATGGTGTCATGCGTGGGGGAGGAGTATGTGCCGTTCAAGAGCGCCCTGCCGCTGGAGGGCAAGGTGGGATGGCGCCCGGCGCAGCCAGCAGCTTGGGGTTGGGACCACGCTTGTGGGGATTCTGCAGCTCCAATCAAGCCCAAACCCTCAGGCGGCCTGATGCACGTGCAGCGCCGGATTGTTACATCACCCGTTGATATGTCGTGCTTTGATATCTGATGGTCAAGCATTTTCTCCCGTTGCCCCTCATTGTAGGTGGAGTCATACATGAATGATGTCATTGCCAAGATGAGGGGGGAGCTGCGGCAGGTGTGCAAGGACAGCGTCGCCGCCTACCCCGGCGCGCCGCGCGACAAGTGGCTATTTGACTGGCCCAGTCAGATCATTCTGGTTGTCAACCAGATCTTCTGGTGCCAGGAGGTGGAGCAGGTGGGTGAGAGGAGGGCTGTCGGAAGCCTTATGGCCACCATGTGTGTAGGCAAACAGCCCCGCGGCAGCTGGTATCCCTGCACGCGGCTGCCTGCATTCTGGTAGTCAAAACGACTGCCCGCGCGGCGACAGGCAGTCAGCACCAACGAATTTGCGCATGCCTTCCTTTTTGTCGCTGCATGTTTTTCCAACATGACCCCCCTCCCACCCCGTAACCCCCTCCACCTCCCCAGGCGTTTGCGGACATGGCCAAGGGCAACAAGTCTGCCATGCGTGACTACAACGCATTCCAAGTCAAGCAGCTCACGCGGCTTATCGAGGTCACGCGCACAAATCTGGCGCGCGCGGACAGGCAGAAGGTGCGCAACTGGTACCGAGGGGCACGGGGCTGATCGCTGGTGCATTTGAACCGCTTGAGCTTCTTTCTGTGAGAACTGTCCATCGTATTGTTGGCGCACTCCTGCTTGTCGCTGTGCTGTCCTCTGCAAACCCGGCCCTTTCCCACCCAACCTCTCCCCCAGGTCATGAACATGATCACGATCGACGCCCACAGCCGCGACATGGTGGCCAACATAGCTGATGCGGGGGAGGTGGACGCCGACTGCTTCCTGTGGATGTGCCAGCTCAGGTCCTACTGGGACGCAAAGCTGGGGGACTGCAGGTGGGACATCAAGCAGGGCGCCCCCCCAAGGGAGCCGACCGACCCCTCGGGCCGGCTCACAGTCAGTGCAATGTTTTGCGGGGGAGGGCATGGCACACACACACGTAAAGTACCTGCTCTCTGCATGTTTCGAGTGCAATCAAGTGACCTTGCTTTCCATTGGACCCGCTTCCCACTCTGCCTGTATTCTGTGGGCCGCGCAACCTGCTGACCTGGCGGCCCCAAACACCACCTGTTGACTCATGCAGGATCAAGATCTGTGACGCGTCATTCCCCTACGGCTATGAGTACCTCGGCAACGGCCCGCGCCTGGTCATCACGCCCCTCACCGACCGCATCTACATCACAGCCACGCAGGCCTGCTGGCTTTGCCTGGGGACGGCGCCTGCTGGGCCGGCGGGTAAGAGCCAGCTGCAGGCGCGGCTCAGCTAGCAGAGCAGTGAGGGTGATGTGTGGCGTCTGGGTCACGCAGTGTAGCAGTGCTTGATGGTTGCGTCACTCACATGCACTAGCCGCCGGAACACGAAGACAGCTGGTTCACTGCTACTGGTGCTGCCCTCCACCCACCCAACCCCTCAACAACAAAGGCACGGGCAAGACTGAGACCACAAAAGACCTCTCTGCCCAGCTGGGCAAGAGCGTGTACGTGTTCAACTGCTCGCCAGAGGTGACCAGCCAAGCGGAGGGATTCCTTGAATTTTCTGCCAGCGGGAGCCCTCAGGAACGCTGGCAGGCACGAGCGTGCTCCGTCCTGGAGCACCTGCCCAC